TTTAAAATGGATTGTTGCTGATCTGGTCCGCAAGTCAAGGGGGTGTGAGTTAACGGCAGCGGCAGCTTACCTCATTTTGTTTGCTTTGGTGGCGTTAGTGATAGTGTTCATCCTTACCCCAGTGATGTTTTGCCTGGTGCAGATGGATTGTTGAAAGCGATTCGAAACATAACTTGTTAAATTGGAGATGGGGGTAGAAAGAGATCGTGTGCCCCCGAAACAGTAGCTTGCTCTGAGCGCGGGAGCCTGATTATTCAGTAATAACTACACATGACAGCAGTCATGGCGGAACCGTGTTTTAGCATATCCACTCAGCCCTGCACCTCCCCGAGACAGAGCCCTTCCCAATGAGAAGGTGGGGCTGGGTCACTGGCATCACCCGGCAGCCGGTTAGAAATGAGGGCTCGTAGGCTGCACCCAGCCACACTGCATCAGAGTCTGCACGTCAGCAATATGCCCCAGGCGACTCCTACTAAACACAAATTTGGGAAGCCCTGGTCTGAGGCACGTCTTCCTCATCAGCCGTGAAGAAAGAAGCCAACGCAACTGTCCAGTCACCATTTGCAGTTTGACAGTTTAGTTTGTTTAGTAAATGTTTTGCTGTATCCTGCCGTGTTCCAGGTGGTGTCAGACACAGAGCAGGCTGAGGAGGAGCTGTCTGTATTGTTCTGAGAATAAGGATTAAGATGATAAAAGTGCTTTACAAGCCCAAAGATGCGGGCTAATTGACAGAGGTGTTGAGGAATTAACACTTGGAGCCTTTAACATGAAAGGTGTCCCGTAGAAGTTAAATTTGGCGGTTTGGTCTAATTGCCTGTTTTGTTGCAATCTGTTTTCTTGTTTAGTTTCAAAAAACATCCATTTATTTGACTGTTAATCTTTCTTATGTCTTAATGCCAACCTGCAACTGGAATTGTACAGCTGGTACAATCTGGAATTGCCTTAACGGCCTCAGAGTATCTTTCAAATATTTACTCCCCAAAAGTGATACTTTATCTAAAGTAGAATATTTGTTCAGATGTTTACTACCTTATTTTTCCATCACTAAAGAAAATGTAGCATCTCATGGCATTTCTTCATACTGTTAGTTACTCTGTGATTTCTAGGTATTTATAACTATGCCAATCACAAAAGATAGACAATATTTTTCTGTTTTAGGAATACAAATAAATGTTGACATCTTTTGGTCCTTAAATACCAAATATAGGAGAAAGATAGCCTTTTACATGATATACCTCTTTAAACAAATTTTGGGTGACCTTTTTTCCATACGGAAGAGTGGGTTTCAATGAAATTTCTGCAAATTAAAAATCTTACTTCAGAAAGTTTTCTTCATTTGGTTTTTCATCTGAAGCTGATAAAGTTGGGAAAGTAGGCATGAAAGTACCGCTTGTGATGCCCAAATTGGGGCATTATTTGAATACAGCTATGTATTTTAAGGATTACAGAGAGTATTTCTTGCATGTGGGTAGTGGAATCCATCATCCAGGTTTATGGGTTTATGATCTACGCTGCTTGGCAGATTGCTTAGATTATGTTAAAAAGATTAACAGTCAAATGTATTGTTCTTTGAGACAAATATTAAGATTTACTCTCCGTTTAAAGATCAGAAAACAAAACTTCATACTACTCATTGTGGTATAGCCTTGTCTAACCCTGGAATTATTTTGTTCTCAAAGAGATGAGATAAAAATGTGTAATTGCTTGAACCAAAGCTGATCACCACCAACTCGAGGTACTTGTCTTACCAAGGCAGAAGCATTGTCTTCAGGTAAAGGGCTGCTAAATTTATTCCTTCATTTATTCTAATGTATATATTCAGAGACTTTACTGTGGGCCTGGACTGTTCTGATGTTGGCGGTTGATCGTAAGTTACATACACATGGTAGGTGTTCTCCTGAAAATTGTTCTCAAGGGAGATATTATTCATTTGGAAAGATGTATAATTGCTAAATGTTACATACACATAGTCCCTGTTCTCCTGAAAATTATTCTCAAGGGAAGAAAAGAGATACTATTCATTTGGAAAGATGTATAATTGCTAAATGTTAGGTGATGCGAATTAGGCAAGCGATATTTGAACTGAAGCCTGAAAGATGGATAAGCGGTCCTTGTCATTTATTCTTGAGTTGCTTGTTTAAAAGCACATGAAAGTGATGGTATTAAATTTCATTTTTTTGGCAAATGGGTGGCAACCATGTCTTACTGGGAATGGCTTTGCTTTTGTCCAGGAGAAGCTGCGTTGGGTCGGAACTGGTAGACTGGCTTCTAGAACACTGTCCTTTGGTCCAATGCAGATCTATGGCCATAGGGGTCTGGCAGCTCCTACTGGATATGGGAATTATGTCATCAGGTTAGTGTTACATGTTTTGAAGGCACAGAATCATTATTTTGTTAAGCTACTTGACCAAAATGTGCTTGATTTCCTAGATGATATTATAATCTAGATGGAAATTGTGTTTGCTGGTAAATATTTGCATTCTCTTGTAAATGAATGTGACAGTTCATCTTTTGTTACTTCTCACACCTTTTGTAAAAATAATTAGGTACTTGTTTCATTAACTACTACCTGTAAGAGTCTTTCCCTTACCCCCTCTCTTCTCTACTTAAAATGATGCACACAATTTTTAAAAACAATCAGTGACATCTTTAGTTGCTCTAAATGTGTGAGTTGTCTTGCTGTACTTAGAATAATCATCAGAAACTGACTTTATGAGTAGCATGTGTATGCCATTTTAATTGTGTAAGTAGTCATAAACGATCTATGAAAATAAGCTGTTGAAACAGAACAGAATATTGATGTTAACTAGAAACTAAAATAGATGGTGGATATCTCTTTTCTTTGTTGAGCCAGGGAATGGAAGACTTAGAAGTCAAGCAGTTTGGATTCTTTATTTATCTCTATCACTCAGGTGCTGGTTTGTCACTGGGAAGCCCTTTTCTTCTATAGATGATAAATATTGAGGGTCAGAGAACACAGTAAGTTTCAGAAAGGCACACCCCAGGTCCCACTGTGGAAAAGTGGTACAGATGGGGATGTGGGTGTAATCTTAGTCGGTCACACCTAGCACCTGATGCTCTTCTTTAGAAAAACAGTTAACTGCCTTTGAGGAATATAATTATCAGCTTGCTTGTGAGGTTCAGGTTTCTGCTTAGCAAAACATTTTGTGCTAGTATTTTTTGGAAAAGTCTCCACGTCTTGATTTCTTTTAAAATAGGGTTTCCCAACCTTGGTAGTGTTGACATTTTGTGCTAGATAATTCTTAGTTAATGGGGGGGGGGCACTGTCTTGTACATTATAGGTTGTTTAGTAGCATCCCTTTCTTCCATCCACCAGATGCCAGTAGCACCCCCTAGTTGTGTCAACGCAGAATGTCACCCGACATTGCTAAATGCCCTCAGTGCTGGTTGAGAACCACTGATCTAAATCTTGCCATGGTGTTGTATTGTTGTACCACCACGGTATTTAAATGTACTGCTTTGGGACGCTAAAAAAAAAAAAGTTTCTTCTACTGCGTTTGAATTGCTGTTGATTTCACCTGTCCCTGAAGTAGAATGGTTGTAAAATACATGTGAATGTGCTGGCCAGAGCTTTAAGTAATAAAAATAGGGTGGTCAGTAAGTCCTTTTTAATTCAATGGGACTGTGAACATGAATGGACTTCATTATCGTCCTATCCCTGGCTTCTCCCTAATAATTAGTAGGCCTTTCAATTTATTATTCAGTTTATGGCCCTCTAAATGATATACTTTACAAAACTGATCCATGCCTTTTTTGTTCCCAACAGTGGACCAGCATTTATGCTTTCAAGATACCTATGTTTTCTACCAGTTTTCGTCTGATGAGTGTAGCTACTTGTACTGTGAATTTGAAAGAGAAGAGGCGTGGCAAAATGGTGTCAAACTTTTACTGCAGCTTGTGCCTCTCATTCCCACTAGAGCTGGCATCTGTGAACTGTAAGTAGATGCTGTTTTGTTCCGTTGTAAAATTATTCTCACTTAGAGAGCCATCCCTGTGTCTGGGGACTGTGCTCTGCTTTTTAAGATCATCTCCTTTAAGAAGTAATTGTTTTATTCCCATTTCTCAGATGCAGGTTCAGAAAGGTAAAATGCTGAAAATTCAGTCCAGTTAATAAATGACTGAACTGGTATTCAAGCTCCAGAAGTGCGTATGCCTCACTGGCTGCACCACGCTGCTTCTAATTTAATCATTGCTATATGAGTAGATGATATAAGTTGGGAATAAACATGATTTAGCTTAAGTTGGAATAAAATAATAACTGACATCTTATCCTCTCTCCAAGTCGTGACTTTCCTAAGAAAGAGCTCAAGAGACATTTCTGAAAATAATCTAGAAGCAACATTTGGCAAATTAAAACACGTGAATCATTATCACATGAAGATGCTGAGTCACTATATGATTAAAATGAATTAAAATTAATTCATTAGACGGGGTGTGGGAATAGGACTTGAGTCGTGATATGATGATTCTGACATGCCTTTGTTTATCCACAGCATTAATGACAAGCTTATTTCAGTATAATGAATTGCAGATTAAAAATTTCAGTTAGCAACTTTTATGTATTCAATTTTTAGAATACGTTGAGATTAGCAGGGCAAGTGGCATTATCCTCATCTCATGGGTAAGAAAAATAGGTTCAGGGAGAAGCACCCACAAACATAACAAAGATGAGTTACTCTTGTTAAAAAAAATAAAGACGATACGGAACAGTTATTACAGGCTTTTAGAAAAGAAATAAAATGTCAGAATATTAATGAGACACTAATAGGTTGATTGTAGAGGATGCATTTTATGTCAGGAACTATGCTAAATGCTTTATATTCATTATTTCATCAGTTTCCACTATTTTAAAGTGAGGAAACTGAGGTATAGAGATCAGGTAACCTATCTACGGTCACACAAGTGGTGTGTGCAGTATTCCATGTCTGTCTGGCTGTAACACCCGTGCTTTTAACAACTGCTAGAGTGTGTGCCTAAGAGTTATGGGGGTCATTCTAGCTTCCCTTTCTGAGACGTTATAACCAGAAGCTATAAAAGTGTTAGACTGACTCTGAAATGGTTATGAATTCAGTGCCAGTGGCACCACCACTGTTTATAGAGCACCTTGCCATGGTAAAGCAAATATAATGCATCATTCGATTGTCTAAATAAGGAAAATGTTTCTTAATGTAATGTGGTCTTAATGTAGGTCAGAAGTTTCCCAGGAAAAGTCAAGGAGCATTTCAGTAAATTTTAAAAAGCTTTGTAAGAAGGAGTGGAATGCTTTTTTTTTTTTTTTTTGTGGTACGCGGGCCTCTCACTGTTGTGGCCTCTCCTGTTGTGGAGCACAGGCTCCGGATGCACAGGCTCAGCGGCCATGGCTCACGGGCCCAGCCGCTCCGCGGCATGTGGGATCTTCCCAGACTGGGCCACGAGCCCGCGTCCCCTGCATCGGCGGCAGGCGGACTCTCAACCACTGCGCCACCAGAGAAGCCCAAGTGGAATGCTTTTTAAGCTAGAGGTGGCTGTGACTCTGTGGGACTGGCACTCTCTGGCAGCTTTTCTTAGCCATTTCGCCTCCTGAAGTCGGAAGTGTGCGCAGTCCCAGGGGGTGTACCCAGATTAACGGGGTAGAGGGTGTCTGAAGTAAACTCGCAAGCAGTCCTCATGGTTTATCTCCTTTCTCTCCCACCGAGGAAGCAGTTTGGAATGCCAGCGAGTTGACCTTTTTACAGGGAATCCCTGAGTCTACTGTAGGTTCTAAAGGTGAAGCTTTTTAAAAAATTTGGTTCCTAATATTCTAGATTACTTGCAGTCTTTTGTCACACTGATCACTGTATACAGTGTCATGCCTCTGGGATTGATAATCACTATAGCATGCCTTATCAGCACATCCTTTTTCTCTAGGTGTGAACTTGTACATTTGGGGGTGGTAATTCCTCTGGGAAAATTGGCATTGGGGAGCTATAGACCTGTTTACCCCATATTATAAGTACAAACTATAAAAAGATAAAATTACTGAACCCACTGCAAGTCTCTTCTGGAGCAAAAATATGTGTGTGTGTGTGTGTGTGTATGTGTGTGTGTGTGTATTTGTTTATTTATTTATTTACTCTATACTAGAGTTATAAGCAAACTTCTAAGCTCTGATATAATGTTTTGGGCCAGATTTTTGAAAGCTAAAGTTTAGGTTATCCAGACTTGGAGTAAACTGTGGTCAGAGAAAAGATGTCTAGGGACATTGTCCTCTGCCAAGCCCTTCCTAAGGTTCAACACATACGATCCCATCATAACTTCTGCTCTAATCTGGTGATCTCCATTCATTCTAGCCCACACCCGTTTATTCCCTCATGGCCTTGTGAAGTTCTGCTCTTTCCTTGTCAAGACTTCCCTCAAGGGGGAGTCCAAGTCCTACCTTGACCACAGAACTTGCGTGATACGTGCAGTCTATGATCAGCGCTAACTTTTAGTAACCTACTGCTCTTGCTGTTTGTTTCAAATTTTTTTTCCACTCTTCTATGTCATTCTTAGTCCTACGGTATTCATTCCACTGTATTATCCATTCATTTTTACCTATTCTACCGAAATGCCCTCTAAAATCCTCTTTACTCATTAACTTACATTGTCCGTTCACAAGCTGAAAACCCGGTCCTGTGGTTCTTTTAATAACCCTTTGAAGTCTGCCTGTGCAGTTCTACATTGGGGTTGTTCTAATTTGCCGTCTTCTCTCTAAATCCCTTTAAAATTATGTGAGGAAAGTACTTCATGTCTCTATGTAAACACCGTTGTGTAAAAGATTCATTTTTAAAAAGAAAAAAGAAACGTAGATTTTTTTCCCATTTAAAATAAAATGTTTAAAGCAGGAAGGAAAATGGAGCTAATGCAGGTTTCTAGGCTAATGTGAAGAAACAAAATTCCTATGCTATACAAAATAACTTTTCTATCCAAACTGAATAGATCCTTTGAAAACAGTGAGTGCATTGGTTGTCAAGGGTACTGCCTCTGGGGGAAGAAAGAGCAATCGTGCTATCTTATTCAAACTGAAAGGCAAATGAAATCATCCAGAATGTCCTTTTTCCTAACTCTTTTTTATTGGGATGGTGCAGTTAGGAACCCTGAAGTAACATTGTAGGGAAA